CTATATATATATATATATATATATATATTTGTGTATATATTATTATATGAATATAATACATATAATTTTAGATGGAGAGGATGTATGTTGAAGTTAAATTCAGAATGTATGTCCGAGAGGGAAATTGATGCTCAAATAATTTTTTAGTTCCCCTTGAAATCTATAAATTAATTTGTTTGTGACTCGTAGTTGAAGTTAACAGATATTGTGGTCCTTGCAAATCACACTATTTGAGAGATAACGTGGTTGTGATGATGATCATTGCGAAAGAAGAGAGTGGACGATGAAGGAAAAGAAGAAATGTCGTAAAAGGAGATATATAACGATTTCTTTAGAATCTGTTCTAAAACAGGCTTTCCAGTTTTAAAACAAGGAAATGAAACAGCAATTGAAGGGCCCCGAAAAAAGAGTATGTTGTAGATAGCGGCATTCTTTGAAAAAGAGAAACGAGATTTTGGTGGCTACTCAATCCATTTACCAATGACATGATTCAAAGATGAAGGTGTTGCTCATTTCAGTTTCGTATCAATATTAATCTTTGAACAGTTCGTTATCAGTAAAGAAAAGGGAAAAAAGAAAATGCATTTGGTGCTAAATTTTGTGATGAATGACAATTTTACACTGACAACTTCCCGATAAATGACAATTTTGCATTGTTAAAGTTTTAAATATATATCGAAATTTTCTACCAATATATATATATTTTGAAAATGTATGTTTCTTCTTAACTAATCCTTCTCTAAATGCGAAACTAATATTTATATTCTTGAAATTCTGTTCTGTACAAAGATGTTTGTTGCAGCAAATAATAAAAACAGTTTGTAATCACTTGCAATATTATACACAACAAGATCCATGAATAGATATACAGATATACAAATTATATCATTTAACTGAATAATAACAAAAAGGAAGTCAGATAATGCTAATCGTTATTCCGCTTTTTTTTCCACATTGTTGTAATTTAATTTACTGATCAACTTCTATACTTCTAAATATCAATTATGGTTGTCGGATAAATTGAAGTTGGTAGCATTATTTATTGATAAAACATTTCAACAAATGTTAAACTTTCATTTTATTAAGAAATGCGAAATTAAAATTGCACAATTTTTTCTTACATGTGCAAAAAAATTTTTAGTTAGGAGCAAAAAAACCGATAAGATTGAACCACTCATTTGTTTTTTGCTCATACGTCAACCCTCTATATAACATATCCGCAATCCATTTGTCATCTAATCCATTGATACGTCAATACCAACTACCCACATTTATCAAACTACTCAGATTTATCTGTTCTAATATCAGTCATTATCATTTTGCTCGTCACATTATGGAATAATATATTTATTGCTTTACTCAGTCATCTTATAACATAAATTTGATAATTTTAAGCTTCAAAGATCTTTTCAGCATATCATTTGCAACAGTTTAATTACAAAATATAAACCAAAATTGAAGATGTTGAAGTTTATCATTAATAGATGGTAGAGTTTATACACTTTAAATTATTATTAATTGAAGTTATACCTAATCCGGTATACGCTCCAGCTGTAATGCATTCATATGCTAGGTATGGTGATACGTGAGAGCCTATAGAAATTTTTTCACCATTTCAACCTTTAAACTATTAATTTAATCTATATAATAACTAAACTATTAAGAGTTTTAATTTTCTGATTTCATCCTAAACTGTCAAAATTTCATAAAAGCATATTCGGTTATATATTGGAATGCAATTTGATATATCACAGATCTAACAAAATTTATAAATCATTTCATCTGTGTTAATTCAGTATACTTCTAACATTTTTTTAAAGAAACTCATGAATGCAAAAAAAATAATTTTTGAAAATATAATTAACTTTTTCATTAATGACTATTTGTTTAATTGAATAATTGGAAGACAATCTGACTACTATCCAATCAACGTATTTATTTCTGCCAAAAACCTGAATTATAACTGTCTTTTCTGAAAATTCAATTTCAGTTACAGGAGGATATCTTATGCAATATCTTATGCAAAAAATACGAGATTTTATTAGTGATATTTGTCTTTGAAAGCCACAATTGATTTATATCATGATTACTCATACATTCAGTGCTATATGTCACTTTCGAACAAAAGTTGCAAGATGGCGATAGCTGCTTTAAAATGTTTTGTATCACGCAAGAATTAAAAAGCTCAGATTTACAACATACGTTAGGGCGGGGCAAGAAGAAAGAGGGAGGGATTAACGGTCAGGTTTTACTGAAAATGCAGTACTAATGAATATCACAGGTACATGAGCAACCAGTTTAGTTGACTATAGACTAATAAAATTGGTTTATATAAACTATGTTTGGTGCTCAGTTAAGAAACAATTTGCATTGTTAGTGTTTGATTCGGTTTTATATCAAAATTGTTCTACATAATATATCAAATAATGGTCATTTTACTCTTACTCTTTATTCTTCTTCCGGAATATTCGGTATTAGTTGGTGCTAATCCGTTCTGTAATTGTCCACAAGGACCACCACCATGTCCTCCACCACCACCACCATGTCCTGCACCACCACCATGTCCACCACTTCTTCCACCAGCTTGTCCACCATGTCCTCCACCATGTCCTCCACCATGTCCACTACCATGTCCTCCACCACTTCCTCCTTTACCATGTCCTCCACCATGTCCTCCCCCTCTACCATGTCCTCCACCATGTCCTCCCCCTCTACCATGTCCTCCACCATGTCCTCCCCCTCTACCGTGTCCTCCACCATGTCCTCCCCCTCTACCATGTCCTCCACCATGTCCTCCCCCTCTACCGTGTCCTCCACCATGTCCTCCTCCTCTACCATGTCCACCACCATGTCCTCCACCACCAATTTGTCCACCTCTTGCACTACCTTGTCCACCACCACTTCCACCACCATGTAGCTGTCCTTGCAAGCGCAAGAAGCGTTCCACACCTGTTGTTGCAGTTACTAGCGAAAATAGTACCACTGGTCATACTTTGTGCAACAACAATAATATTCGCAAAATTATCCTAAAGGTAAACATATTCTTTTTATCTTAATCAAAATGTTTTTTTTTTTTAAATCTATGATATAATTAAAATGATCTAAGATCAGTAATTTTGTAATATCTGAAGAGATACTATCAGACAAATCAATCTATGATCAAATGCAGAAATATTGAAAATTAGCAAAGTGAAGAAAATCCAACATAATCCTTTATTTGTCCTTGTAAGCGAAGAAATATTCGCATTCGTTGATTATTGCATATAATTTAAAAACGAAAAAATTAGAAATTTGAAAAACTTCAAATTACTTTTCACTAATTTTTAATTACATGTTTTAGTTACTATTGTAGAAGTGAAATACTTTTAGGGGAATTTATATTATTTTAAATTGCGTTACATCAAATTAATTACATGAAAATTTAATAAAATTAATTAATAATATCATAGCAAAAGAAGTTTTCATTTTTTGAAATTCTTCAAAAATTTCCAACACTCTGCAACTATTTATTTAATTGTAGAAGTTAAATAAGCAAAAATTACAGGACATAAACTACTTTTATATCTTAAGAATTGATATTTTCAAGATTTTAAATATTATCATTGAAGTGTTCCCAATTTACTGAAAATTAAAGCAACCAACTAATCCTTGCATTACCAATAGTATGGTAGTATTCGTTTGATCTTCCAAATATTTTTGTTTAACTTGGAAACTGATAAGATGAACATTTGTTGTCTTCAGATAAAACGATTGAGAAATATGATAATTGTGAGTGATAATATAAGATAGCACTTCAACCTTCCTATTTCATTTCATATTTTTAATTATTCAACCAAATTTCCTGCAATTTAATTTCAACCAAAATTTCTTTTTATAAAACGATTCCTTACATTGCAATTTATAATATGCAAAATTTTTACCAGCCTTAATATAAAAACTTCTGAGTAATTCGTTAACTATGAATTTTTGCGAATATCTTTTGCTATCTGAAAAGAAACGAAATAAAAAGCTTGAATGAAATATTTACTGATTTAATTCGCGCTGATGAATTCGTTAGATTGCGAAAGATAATTCTCCTATACCCATATCTCTTCATCAATTGTTTTATAAATTGAGACAGTTTAATCGCTTATTTTCAGTAATATGGGTTTAACAAAAAAATTTTCGAGATAAATCTTTCAATTGATTTTTAATTTGTTTGTCTTCGAGAGGAATTATAATTTTAGGCTGTATCCTAATTTTAATTTTTATTCTTTATATGATGATATCACGGAAGTATCAAAGAGGTTGTAACAGAGCAACTACAGTAATCTTTCAAACTATTTAATCAAAAAAAAGATTTTGTTCGTATTATATCAATCAATCAATCATTAACTTTTTTTAGAGTATCTTAAAAATACAGTTAAGCACTTAAGTATCAGAATTATTCCTTTTTTTAATTAACTTTTATTAATTAAAAATTCATTTATCATAAATTATTCATTTATCATGAATTATTATCTTCTCCATAAAAATAGGCAATTATTGTGCATCGATGAAACTTAATTTTTCATCCAAGACAATAATAATTATAATTTGAGACAAACTTAATTAAAAAATTAATTGAAATTCATTCATCATAAATTATTAACTAACATCAAATCTAAAATATTTTCGAGATTTTGTTTCGAAAAATTTTTTTTCTCCAAATTTATATTTTTATTAAATATAATTAAAAGGAATGAATTAGTAATAATTTCTGATGCAAAATTTATAAATAAGATTCTTTTGCAACTATGATTATCATTTAATCAATTAACATTAAATGATTTATGGAAGATGAAATTTACGTACGTCTTACGTATACATGCAATATTTCGACTCAACGTTTCAGAGCAAAAATTACTGGGCAACATTCCATGAATAATTAACCTTTGAATTCTATCAATGACCTTTGACTCATTTCATTTTCATAGGTAACAAAGGGGAAGCAGGGAGGGGGAAGATGGAAGGAGGAGAAAAGAAAAGAAGAAAGAGAAATATTTAACGGAAATTGATAAAGCTATTCTTTTTCTTGCAATTTAAATTGATTCATTAAAATTATGGCGCACAATTCAATTAATACAATAAGAAATCATTAATAAAATGATTGTAATGTTATTAAAACATCAGATAATGATTAGTGTTAATGATAAATAAATGTATGATAATGGAATGTTCCAGAATTTGGGCTCAGATGTAAAAGTTTCGAAAGCATCCATTTATTCGGAATTGAAAGCGAAACAAAAGAATGATTACGTGGTGTTATGTTCCCAATCAAGTTTATCATTTACAAGCGATTCAACGAATTATTGTGTTGATGGAAATATGGATCATTTTTGTTATGTATTTCAACTATAAGAAAATTTATTAATATTTTCTCACATAATTACTTTCTTTTTTTTTTTCAGATGAAATTTTTGCTTATTTAAAAAGTTAACATTCGTTATTCATTGTAAAATACCTGAATACCTGAACTTTTTTCTTACAGGAAATATTAGATGAAAATAATAATTAAAGTTTTATAAGAAAATGTAAAATATTTAATTGTGATATTAATTATAAATATTTTAGGTAAAAATTATTGAATTATCTTAATTAATTAATTTAAGATTTTTGCAAAATCTTAAATTATTTTTCTTTCTTTTTTCTTTTTTTTTCCGAAATATTCGAAAGGAAAAAAAAAACAATTATAATTATTATAATTATTATTAACCTTTTAAGGTAACGAAACATTTCATATTAGTTGGTGAAGTTTTTTTCCGTTGTAATAGTTTAAAAAATGTTTTTAGCTATCATAACAAGCAATAACTATTATTATTTATCATCATTTTCTTTTTTTCCTTCAAAAAGAAACAAAAAAAAATATTATTCATTAGGAAAATTATCAATGTAGTAATTGATGTTAACATTGTTGTTTGTTTTAAATATTCATTAATCAACATGTACTCTTATAATCATTCTTATTTGTAATTTCAATTTGATAAATTTCCATAGTTTTCGTTATTTCAATTCAATAATTTTATTGCAATATCGTACTGTTTGTTTGAGACGAGAAAATCAAATGATATATCTGTTGGAATGATGATATGATTATCATCTTAACTAAAACGTTTAATATCCGGGAGCTGAAATCATTTATTACGTTTTTATCAATTGCGTTTGTAATTGAAAACAAAAAAAGCAATGAAAAATGAAATTTCGTTTTACAGAAATGATGAAAATAGTTCAAGGTTATGATACTCTCTATATGTGATCATAATTTGATCTGTCTACAGTGATTCAAAATATCGTTCAGTGTAGATTTCGTATAAGTTAAAATAGAAATTTTCAGTTAATTAATTCATTGGAACTATGGATCTCACAGCTTTATTGCCGTCATATATCAGATATGGAATGAAAAGAAAGTAAATCAGTTGCTCGTTTTATTATCATATGATTGATTACAAATAGCTATAAAATGCTTAAATATGGATAATTCATTTTGCGTAATTCTCATGATAAAATTTTAAAATTTTATCAGTTCGATGTTTAAGAAATGCAAATAGCCTCAAAAATTATATTAAAGATAAACCAATTTAAATATATATATCGAATGATACAAATGAATTGGAAATAACATATGATTGCGAAAAAATGAAATTATCAAGTGAATAATTATACGTTGAACATGAGGAAGTTAGAAAATATTGTAGCTTTGCCATAATTGCATATACAAATTATTGACTAATATCATTTTCATAATAGATAGTTCCATCTAGCAATAATGCTGTATATGTTAATTTTAATGCTCTGAGAGCTTCTTTAGTTTCATATCGAGTGCGTAAATTTGATTGGGGCTGCGTTACCATCTTGGCGGATTGGTGTATAAAAAGGTGGGATAGCTCTATTTTGGTTGCTTCTTTAGTTGTGAGGAGGTTAAGCGTGGCGGTTGGCTGGGATTGGAATTGCTGCGAATTTGTTGGGTCGAACTGTAAGGTTTTAGAATAAGGGGATGGAGTCGAAGGATATCAATGAATTGGTCAAACCAAACGGTTGTAATACCGAGGGCAAGGAGTTCATCAAATCCCTTCCTAAAAGCATCAAGCGACGAATTCAAGCATTGAAGAAACTGCAAGTCGAGGGTTTGTGTATATTTCCATTACTCGATTTTTACGTAAAATGTGCTAGAGAACATGGTTAAAAGATCATAAAATAAGCACTAAAAAAAAAGCAAGATCTTGAAAAATGGACAGTGGTATGGGATTTTAAACCAGGTCATGAAGTTGTTTTCCTAAATTTCAATCAAACACTATTTTAGGTATCAATGTTGAAGCCCATTTCTATGAGCGTGTGCATCAATTAGAAGTAGAATTCGCCCCTATGTTCAATGCTTTGCATGATAAGGTAAATTGTTTTTTTGTCCCTACATTATATTCACTGTCCCTAAAATAAATTAAGAGCAGAATTTAACAAGTTGGTAGCGATTCTGGTAGTTCTGTGTGATGTAACTGTTCAATAGTGCGCAATGATAAGCAGTTTGCTATTCAGTATTCCTCCTTACATATAAATACTGAGATAATTTTGATACTGTAGGAGTTCCGAGAGATTTGTTGTACTTTCTAGATTTCACGTAGTGTATAGTCTTCTCTCGACAACCGTTGGATCAGAATAATCGGATTTTTATCCTTGTATTACTTGCAGAGAAAAGCGATTGTGATGGGTAAATATGAACCCACTGATGATGAAGCTAATTTTCCAATTCTGCACGGTTATACGAAGGAAGAAATGGAGGTAAATATCACTGCTGAAAATTTTTTGAAGCAACCCATCCAATTTTTGCAAGTAATTGTTTTAACATGTGTAAATGTTATTGAATTGTCAAGTGAACTTGGCCTATACTTGCAGCAAATGGAAGAAGCATCAGCCCCGGAACCTAACCAACCTACAAAAGGTGTCCCAAATTTCTGGTTATACCTTCTTAAAAACGTAGATCATATCTGTGAGATGATCCAGGAACACGATGAACCAATACTTCAACATCTCGTTGATGTTACATGTGATGTCCAGACTAACCCGGATGTAAGATTTCATCATAAATATTATAATTTATGGGCGCTTCATCATCGATAGGATTTCCAAAAAGATATTTATTTGACATTGCTGAATAGCGAAGCTAGTATTAGCATTTGTAATTGAAGTTTTGTAAAAAAGTTGCTTTGCTGTTTGATATATGCTATTTTTTAAACATTTATGCTTTTTTATGGACGAATTTTTTTAGTCATATACTCTCACATTCCATTTCGAACCCAATGAATATTTTTCCCAGACGGAGTTGAAGAAATTTTATACCCTACAAGTTCCTCCGGATGATGACGATATTTTCGAGTATGACGGTCCAGTAATAGTCAATACCAAAGGGTTACTTTCGATTTTTTTTCTCAGTCTTGTAGTATTTATCCACGGTATTATGTTGCTGAAGAAATCAATTATAAACCTCTGATTGGAAGGAGGCGTATATGTACGCTATCTCACCATAAGTTACAGTACTTTAATTTGCCGTTGTTAATTTTACATACTACATTACAGTACCGAAATAGATTGGAAGGATGGGAAAAACGTTACAAAGAAGATTATTAAGAAGAAACAAAGGAAAGGCAATGGTGCTGGTCGCTTTGTTACAAAAACAGTCAAAGCTGACTCTTTCTTCAACTTTTTCGATCCTCCGCCTATGAAAAATAAGGATGAAATCAATGAAGATGATGATGTTAGCATGTTTTCTGTTTCGTCTTACTTTCATATATTTGTGTTTTTTCGAATATTTTTGATTTATTTAAAAGTTGAAGCTCTGATAGACTGCAATGTAAGCATTTGCTGAGAATAGATCGGATTGTGGACAGCTAATTTAGTATATATGAGTGCTTCTTGTTCCTCCTGATTTATTAATTCTCTGTTTTAGGACGCTGAAACTCAGGAATTATTGCAAGCTGATTTTGAGGTTGGCCAGTTATTCCGTGACCAAATTGTGCCTAGAGCGGTGCTGTTTTACACAAAGGAAGCAATAGATGAGAATGATATTTTTGAATATGATGGCGATGAAGACGAAGATGAGGTTCTGCTTTTCCATTATTTGCAGTCATCTAAGGTCTGATTTTGCTGCATACTGAATGTGCAATTTTCGCTAACATATTCCGTCAATTTCCAACATTTTTCCTCGCTAACATATTCCGTTCGTATGTAGTTGTTTACTCTACCCATCAGCACTTGTCTCATTGTGAAGCTTGCTTGTTTTTGTGTGCATTTCAGTACTTCCTAATACTGCTACCACACCGCCATGGGTTTTTGAGAAAATTTTGTCGTAACATCATTTTTTTTTGACCTCTCTTTGGATCAACCGAACTGTTCAGTCATTCAGTTCTCTTTATCGTCTAATGGTAGCAAAAGACATAGCAGAGAATATCATGGTTTTGCCCAGTTTTTTAATATTCATCACTACAGAATTTTTTAAAATAAATGAATGTTTCAGACTGAATTGGCTGACGAAAGCGATAATGAATAGCTGCTATTGCTGGAACTGTTTGCATAATAAATTCCACTCATTGCTGTATTGATAAAGTGTTTTGCACCGTCTCTTTTTTTACAATATTTCTGATGAGATGTGTTCAATCGTGGAAATTTCTTAATGAATGAATATTCTTTTGTCTTTTGAAACACAGGGACATGCAAACATGTAATGAGAATGTATCGTTTGTTGCCGCAAAAAATATTTTATTAAAATCCCTTGTTGCGCATTTGGTAACGGTTGCTGCCGTTGGTGTTTTTCGCATGCGGTGCTCAACGAAGAGAATTGTAGCATTTAGGACAGTGTTTTACTTTTGTGACGGCAACATCATGGATTTTATTGGTTCGTAAAATATTTCATGATTCCATGAGATAAGAGTAATAACTTCTAGAGCATTTAGTTTACAGGCATTTATGATTGGGTTGTTTATACTAATCTAATGTATTGGTTATTGTAAGGATATGAATTCGCTGGAGGCTGGTGAATCTTGAAATCATGGAAGAAGTCGAAGCTCTGAGAGTTTTGAATGAATTGTCCCACATAAATATTGATAATCCGGATCTAACAAGTGTGTTGGAGAGCAAGGTCTTGTTTGATCGCTCACTTTATTCTCTTCCGGATTGTCCTGTGCGTCGTCGTTTCTTTTCTGTTGTTGAATGTTTTCTAATCAGCCTATGGCAGAAAAGCTTTTTCGGATGCAAATGTTTGGATGAGGAGGCGCAGCATATCCTTACCATATTTGGCGTTTTGAAAGATGTGGTCCAGGAAATTAACTTCAGTACGGGTATGTAGTTCCAGTCCGTCTTTCAAGTCTTCTCATCCTTCCCACCGAAATGGTTCCTTGTCCATTATTTCCAAGTTTTCTCATCTCCCGTCTAGGTGGTACTTCATTCTGTTCTTAGATAATTGTATCTTTTTCTCGGTTGGTGAATTCACTCGATGTGGTACGGCGGAGTTATATGGAGTATCACAAGTCATTTGAATCATATAGTGCTTGTTAAACTGACCGATATGGAATAATTAATTGTATCATCCCATTAAAAATATAGTATCCATTTATGACTTCCCTTCTTAAGTGCCCGCATCCATGATCTTTTACATCGACGATCTCATTCTGCAGAGACTGTGTGGTTTGGTGGTGAGCAGGCAGGCCTTGAAACTAATCCACTGAATAATGCAGTCGCATTTCTCAGTTGCTGTTGGCATGCAGCCGCACTTGCTGTCAATATTTGTGGTTAGTTGCGAATTTTGCCTGTTGTGACGACTTGTGTTTATTTTCCAGAGGTTTTCATCTGTTTACTCAAAAATCTATGAAAAAATAGAAAACTTTATCAATCCTTTAGACTGATTTTGCACTACTGGTTTTTTTATTTTTGAGAGGAGTTGGTAGCACTTCTTTATTCATTTGACAGTCACTTGTTTTCAGATGCTAGTGAAATTCAGGACTTATTAAAAGCTTCAACTCGCCTGATTCCGCAACGCAGTTGTTTGTTAACAGCCTTACTGACACAGGATGAAAGATGCCTTTCTGTTGCTGTTGCATTACTGCGCCTAGAAGCTTCTAAAATGTAAATTTCGAAAACTGATATAAAAGATCTTTTACAACATTGATTACGTATGATGAAGAGTGATGTAGTTCGAGGTGTGCTGCGTTTCACTTTATCGTTCAGTTATGTTGAAATTTATATTATGGTACACTTAACAAATTTTTCCCTCTGGATCATAGCTTATAATTGTACAGAAATTTTTGACTTTTGAAAGTATTGTCTTATTTAGAGTCATCAATTAGGAAATTGATTCAATTTGAAAATAAAACGAAAAAAGGCAAGAAACTTGCCAAAAGCAGGTATTTCAAAGAGAGATAATTCCATTTTTTCGAATGATAGCGGATGACTTGAATATCAGTAAAATAAATAAAGGAATTAATTACTCGTAAATTTTAGCGACACGCCACCTCAGCTCAAAGCAATGTGGTTATTCCGACATATTTTATTTTCTATAGCCTATGACCATCAGGTATAGTATTGTTTCTTAGTGTCCTTTATTTAATATGTTAACCCTTCAGTGAGGAAAGATTTCTTTTTACAAAAATAAAGCTTCGAACTTTTCCTAGAGGAAGTTTTTTTGGCAACTATTAATTTTGAAACTAAGATCGCTAGTCCAAACTCTTACTGGATCGTGCTATCGTGTTTTGTTTTTATTATTTCAAAAATCTACATAGGTAGTTCTGGATTGGCTTCATTCGGAGTTAGCCGCGGTGCCTTTCGTATTACGTTTCCTCAAAATATTGATCAAACAACAGAAGGATGTTGATCGACAACAATATAGTGGTTTTTCGTGTTCACCGTATGTTTTGTCGTATGATTTTCTAAGTGACAATAATCGACTTATTTGCTGTGGCATTATGGTATTGACTCTAAGATATGAAAGCATGCTTTGTTTTCATGAATGTGTATTCGGAAGGCAAATTGGAACAGAAAGAAATCTATGAATTCGATTCAAAAAGATCAAAATTCCTCTCCGCTGTTTCCTGTTCAGCGCTTTTAATTCATATGGTCTACAAATTTTGGCAGATTTTTGGAAATGATTATGCTATTCATTGTCTGTTTAGGTGTTGTGAAAGGAACAAGAAAATTCGGTTTGTTCGAAGCAAAACGGTTTCTTCTGGTAATGATCTAACTCTTCGCATTCGGCAGTTGCATGGAGATTTACCCGTCACTATCCCCTACACATTTTCGAAGATCGAAAGGGTTAATTTTTACATTCAGTCTGCGTAGCAGTAACTGGATTATTCGTAGGATATCAGAACTCCGATATCTTGTATTGAACTTCGGAGAGCTGTTATGCGCGCTAATATTTGGCATTTTAATAATTTCTCTTTTGTGCATAGAACTTCGGTTGTTCTCCTGATTCATTACGGTGGACCTACCATCAAATAAAAGAATAATTACGGTACTGTTGTAGGAAGTATGTCTGATGGTGCCTAAATCTAGTGAAGAGGAGTCAGGCGACCAGCAAATTATAAAATGTTTCGAGAACTTACGAACTTCCTGCATACGGTTGCGAAATTCGGGTGATGCCCCATTTAATGTGATGCCCATAATTGGGATTGTTGAACAGCTGAAGAGGGCAGTAATGGAGAGTGATACTGTGTCAGCATGCAAGAGCAGCCGCGAAAATCAGCTGGAGACTAATATGACATAATACGTGAAAGATCTATTTCTAAGGAATTAATATTTTTATTCCCATTTGGACATGTATTTTGCCTGGATTGAGTTTTTTTTCATTTTCAAATGATGTGAGGAACAAATAAAGTGGTTTTATACATACGGATTTTTGTTGAAAAATGTGCGAGCTCTCATTTTCTCGCTAGTTCATATTTCTTATATGTAATTAGAGCTGTCGAATGTATCTCTTCCGTTATATAGACAAGTTTTTAGATTCCGACGTCAGTTATATAAGAATAAGTAACATAAGAATAAATCTCGTATGCTCTTTCTTGTCGATGCTTTAATTGGGAGTGTCCAAGGATATTGGAAAAATTATACAGGTCCCATAGATACCGTGCTCCTTGCAAAGGTAGATATTACCGTAAATGTAGAGCTTCAATAGACATTGGTTTTTAGTTCTATGCCTTAATTGGGAGAATAGAGGAAATTGCACAGATCCCAAAGATTACAGGGCATTCCGAAACCCCACCCCCTCCCCAATGGTACGTGTTACTGCAGATATAGGGCTTCAATGGGCATTGGTTTTTAGCGAATTGGCTCTGGACCTGTGGTCGGTATCTCTAGGCGACGAGTTGGTCTATATCGTGAAGGGTTTAGGGTTGAGGGTTTATGAGTTTTTGGGTAGCGGCTGAGCGTTGATTTGGGCTCGGTGTGGTAGGGACATGGGTGGCTTGTTGATGTTGTTGGATTGAATTTGGTTGCTTTCAGTGTGGTCCTTAAAATGTCTTCATCGGGAAGCGATCGTCATCGATCAAAAAGTCACTCTCCTAGAAGGTTTGTTTGTTTATTGATAAAAGGAAAGGAATAGAATGCTTCGAAAATCTTCCAATTGAGGAAGTTATCTGATGAATGCACTCGATGTGCTCATAATTCAATTTCGTGGGTGGTCTGGTATCTCAGCGCTTGGTTTTTTTCTAAATCGCCTTATACGATGGTTTTGGTATGTATAACGCTATCAGGGCCAATGCGGTAGTGTATTCGCGCTGAGAAAGAGAACCAAATATTTTGTTTTAACCTGAAATAAATTTGGCTAGAGTTGCATAAATCAGAGTGAAGTTGATGTTTGGTGGTACTACAGTTTCTGTTTTTTATATGTATTACTTTCAGTGAACGATCTGACTCACGTAGCAATACGCCACCGCGTCGACGTAGCCGTTCAAGATCAGTTGATCATGCAGCTGAGCAGTTCGGTCGGCTGCATATATGTAACTTCGATGAAAGTCTGAGAAAGGATGATCTGAAAGACGCGTTTGGGTATTTTTTTAAATGTTATGAATTGCGAGAAGGTTGCTTTACAAACTTGAGTCATGTTTTCATCGACACTAAATTTAGAGATAGTAATTCGTATCCGAATCATGTTTTTTAAGATAATATTATCTTGCAGAAAGTTATGATATCAACACATTTCTTTTTAATTTGCAGTTGTACACGTTAGGGAATTTTATTCTTTGGTGGTTGTAGGAGGCTACTGAGCAACTAGTTCATAAAATAATCTGTTTTGTATAATGGTAAAGCCATTTAGTAAATTTGGCGACATCGATAATGTTTGGTTGGCGTCATATCCGCCACTGTTTGCATTTGTCACGTTCAAAGCGAAGGAAGATGCTGCTGATGCGCTGAAAGAGATGAATAACGCGTGCGTAAATTCATAGATGGTTCATTTGATATTAGTTACCACAGAGAACGGGGTAGCGCTATGACGTTAATGTGTTTTACATCCAAAAATTTTGTAATTGGAAGGTAGTTTGAGATTTTGTAGATATAATGTGGTTAATTTATTGTATTACCAATTGCTACCAATACAGGTACATTGGAAGAAACAAGATCAAGGTAGCTACGGCTCATCCACCAAGAAAACCAGGTGAGCGAGGTCCGTCACGTCGCTATGGTGGTGGCGGTTATCGAGGAGGAGGTGGACCACGGTTTGTTCTTCTCCAAATGTTTTGTCTGTATTATTTTCTCTGTTGTACTGTGTTATTTGAAATTCATTAAGTTTTACTGTTAGCCACCTTTGTTTGGAATCAATAATCGTCTATTTATAATTTATTTTCCAGCTCATATGGTGGATATGGCGGTAGAGGCGGTGGATACGGAGGAGGCTACGGTGGACGATCAGGTGGTTCTCGTTCATATGGTGGAGGTGGTTATCGGAGCAGTTACAGTAGTAGCGGAAATGGTGGTGAGCGAAGGTAGGATTTTTGGTCGATGAACTACGTTCAGGATTGTGCATCAGATTGAACCCAAAAGAATTAGCGTCTTGCTATATTTTATTTCATGATTATAATGCTATGTGCTTCCCTCTCTTAATTTCAACATGCTCCATTTCGTGTCTGATGGTGTGTGCACCTCCTTGTTTTCAATCTGAACACAATGAACTATGCTTGGTTTGAAGGATTTTCACTTATTCTAAAAAAGAAACGAAACAGCGGCTAACGACTTAATAAGGATTATAAGTAACCCATTAAAACTTCATGCCTCTTTCAAACTGTCAACTGGTTATGTCGAAAGTTTCTAAAATTCATTTTTCTTTATATTCCAGTACTCAGTCTCTCTTAAATGAAAGGAAAGAAAGCATTGCTTATGTATAAATTGGTCCGTCCTGCATTGGCCGAACTATGCAAACTGGTGTTCGGGTACGAATGAAATGAGTTATCCTCACTTACGGCTTCTGCCGACCAAGCCAAATTTTGGTACTACTCATATGTAGACGGTTCGGTTAACAGTTGTACGGTGGGCGGATACTGGTAGCTTTGACAAAATCGGCTGCATTTGATTGTGTAAATTGCTGGATTCCGCGATGAATAATATCGGTGGTTACATCACAAGATATTCTTTTAAATGAAATATTGGGCATTGTACTACTACAAGTGGTAAGTCCGATTTTGCGCACTTGTATTTCTGGGTCCTGTCTCCTGAGTAAATCCCGGATCAAATTGTGCTTTTTTCTGTCTTCGAAATTTTCGGGTGATGAAGGCCGTTTTTAGTCTTTTTGCTGGTAATGCTGTAATGCGATTTGGTTGTCCCTAATTTCTCACATTGTTCCTCTTTGGGCTTTAAAGTCATTGAAATGGTATTGACATAATGTTCAGAATTGTAAACTAGTTTTACTTAAAATTGACCAATATGGCATTCGAATTGTTTCTCAAGTACCGAACAAACCTTATTCTCAAAATAGCATTAGCATATCAAGTGAGGTTCTGCTTATCAAATCATCATTGGTTCATTTGTCTACCAATAACATGTGTATCAAACCGCTAGTGGTTCATCTGTTTGTTGAAGTTTAAATATTTTCTCGAAGCTCGTTATATTTATATTTTATCGGGCTAGTATCGGTAAACAACATATTCCACGAGGACTTCGTGTTGTGAAATCTGCATAGTTCTGATGCTCCAATGCTTAATATGATTTTTCAAAGGGAATCTGTCAAAGGTAAGCTCATTTCTTACATTTTGTCAACTTCACTATTTCTAATGACTGAATCTTTCAGGAGTGGCAATCGATACAGTGATCGACGTTGATTCGTTGTACCATTCCATGCTGACAGTGGTTATTTTTTCTCAAATCAAGTTCTGCTGTTGTTTTTTCTTCAGTTAGATCTGTATTTGAAAACCAAAATTTTATCTTAATTTCTCTGTTCAGATAATTTCAACAAACGGTTTTTGTTTGTAAAAGGTTGAAGTTTTATGTATCGTTGTAAAATTTTTGCGTTGTTGATCAGATTTACGTTTTACATTTTTCTGTAATTTGAACAAGTTGCTGAATAAATTATCGTTTATCGTTGTATGAGTTATGTGTTGCTGTCAGTATTGAGAAAATAACACCATAAAACATATTATAGTTATTATGAGCACGGGATTTGATCCATGTATCGTTATTGAAGCAAATTTCTGTTATGTCAAACTGTTAAGTGCAAATATTAAATGATTGAGAAATGAAAAAAACAATTTTTTATGCTCTCGATGTCGCCAAACTGGACTAGATTTTTTTTCAGTCTTCGGACAGTGGTGTGTCATATGCTTCCTTAAGATAATAAAGTGAAGATTTTGAAATGGAGTGGCCAAGAGATTTGCAATTGCTAATTTTCTGATATCTTGCAAAATTTTAAACGGGTTATCTCTTGGTCGCCTGTAACAATCCTAATTGCAAATGTAAGTGTAAATGGGTTAGCTTAAGTTTACTGCGTTCACATAGAACTTGTAAGCATACATCGTGACTTCCAAATCTCATTGTAATGAGATTATGGTCCTGTAAATATAGTGAAATGAGTGTGGAAAACCGCAAGTACACTGTTATAAATTTTCATCCTGGACGGAATAAGTTGTTTGTATATCTGGTAATCCTGTATCTTGTAAATAATATTTTTTCAAATTATTGGCATCATACGATGTAAAAATAGAGTAAAAAAGGAAACTTGAAAGAGTGTTGATGATAACCTATCTATTGAACCAATGAACTGATAACTAAGAAGAGGGAGAGGTGACAAATTTTGTGCGAAATTTAGTCATCGAAAATTCTTATCTCTATTGCATCTTTTTCTCTGAAATAACATATTAAATGAGAGGAGATAAGCGCTTATGTCCATGCATGTGTGCTTGTATTTCAAATAGTTGTGTTATAAATATAGCGTATCACAGTATGAAATGCTGTGATAATATGAAGTAGAAATGAGGGATCATCTGATGCATAATATTGCATAAAACTGCTTTCGGCTTGTGTTTACGTCAAAGATATTGTAGCTGCAAATTTCAAGAACTCGGATTTCTGTTCTATAGTAATATGAAGTAAAAAATGAGAGATCATAAGTAAACGAATAATCGGAGATCTACCGTTCAGAAAAATAATTAAAATATATTAATTATCGAAAACTGATTAAAAAAATTATGATTATCCTGATGATTATTTTCCGGTCAGTGCATATAATCAATCATTAAATTATTCATTTGAAGAAGAAATTGTAGTTAACTTTAAACAGACAAGTAAATAGATAATAACTGATTTACGATAAAAATTAAAAAAGATATTTCTGTTTTTGTTTTTAAATAGTTGAGATTAATTTCCATCAGAAATCAAAAAATAATTTTGCATGAAATAATAATGTATGATAATTTGAAGCTCTAATCGAATTGCAGATTCCATATCACTTGCAATTCATTGATAGAATCTCTTCATGTGAATATTTCAAAGGCTTTGTAATTTAGCAAAAATAGATAAGCTATTCAAATTGTTTTAATCAGAAATTTTTTTATTATTCAAAGAATACGACATTTTGCCCAATCTATTTTACATTTACATGAAAACTTTTAATTTCATTCTGGAAGATATTTTTCTCCTGGATAAAATATTTCGAAAAAGAAGAGAATAATAGTCTGTAAAAACAATATGAATTTATAAAGATATGAATTTATATTATATGAATTTATAAATTTATATCTCATTACTCTAATAAATGTAGTTAGTATGGGAATGGACTATTTGATAAATAATAGAATAATCAAATTTTATCAACATAAGGAAATTGTACTAAGAATTGCTAGAGGCAGATCAATCAAATTGAGTTCATTCTCTGACGCATGAATTTTGTAGTTGAAGTGTTAAAATATGTATATATGAACATATACTATATCGATTCGACATATACATCTTGATATATATATATAGTATATGTTCGTATGTATATATTTCAACATTTATATATATATATATATATATCGAGATATATATGTCGAATGTTTATCAAAATTATTGCTTATTTCATTTTATTGCTCGCTTCATTCCTTTTTCATCATTTTAATAAATTGAAAGTAAGCTGAGGGAAGTGAATATAAAATACAATAAGCTTAATTGATTAATGAACACTTTCATAATATCAATGAAAATAATTGATGCAATATATTTATTTTAAATGCAAAAATTTTTTGTTGAAAAGAGTATAGAGCGAAATTTTATTAAATTGTAGTCAACTTTTAGCATTTTCTATTTAATCGCTTCATTGAAAATAATATGATGTCATAATAATATGATGGAAAAGTTAGAAGTTAATAGGTGTGTTAACTAGAATTAATGTCTAAATTAATTCATGTCTAGAAGTTTTAGTCATTTTTGAAGTATTCATTTCTTTTTGTTTTGTTTGCTTATTAATGAATTAGTAATTAATAAACAAAATTTTAGTCAAAATTTTTTTTTTGTTTATTTTCTAAATAAATTAAAAAATGTGAAGGAAAAATTAAAAACTTGAAATTTCCGTTTACTACGCTTTCTAACACAATCAATAGCAGTTGAAAAAATTTTTTTAGTGCGTCGTATCATTTGATGATAATGTTGAAAACTGTAAAAATATTTAATGTGTAGTTATGTGATAAATGACCATTGCAAGACATTAATGGTAACTTATTGATATAAAATTCATAAATAATTACAACTATTTCAATTATTTTCAATTTATTCTACAATTTTAAAATTATAACCATAAAATGAGTGCAACATTTATTCTTCAAATCTTTGGTATCACTATTTTCTCACTCATGTTTTTCTGCTTTCTTACGGCAAGAAATTAGTAAGATAAATATGAAGGTATGGATATAAAAAAAGCAACTGTAAGCACTTCAAGTTGTGATCGACTTCAAGTTATCTCAAATTTTTCGTAATCCATTTTGCAAAATATTCAAATATATGAATGAATATATTGTACAAATAATTTTTATATATGTACAAATATGCTGTAAGTAATTGAATTGAAAAGTTTTGAAATACGAACATTGAATAATCTAATTTTTAAATATATTGAAAATTCCTAACTTATTGATATCATTTTTCAAATTTTCCTAAAATATCAGACTTTAATTTAACTAATTACAAATACAAATTCATTGTTATTGGGGTTGGAAATTTTTAGATAACTAGTATCAGTGAATAGTACAGTGGAACAAGATACGTTAACAGTTTTATCACACATCTGAAATGAATAGCAGCAATATGGTTATCGCAGTATTATTACTAGTTTTTTGTTTTAAATTAGTAGTAATGAATAGTTTGTGATCTTCTCAAATATAACTGAGATGGCATTTGAGGAATTTTGAGGAATTGAGGAATTGAGGCATTTGCGGAATTATTGTTCATTCGTTTTCATTTCTTCCAAAATCCGTATACCTTCAATTACTTTAGCGTAGTTCTCCATTCATCGAATAAATACTAAACAAAAATAATCAATATTTCAAATTTAAATTTGAATTTTGGTTTGTAAATTTCCTTTTTTTTAAATGTCGCTCTTTTTTGAAATGATTAGCAGTTATCATTTGCATGTTAACTTGATTAGAATCATTTATAATTTTATCATTGGTTAATTCATCTTCAAGTATGATTCGATAATTTTGATTTTGATATTTTCGAATAGTTAAAAAGAAGACACATTGATGTATTTCTTCCTGTTAATCATTATTCAATGTTAATCATGGTTGATTTCGTCTTTTTCAAATAGATGATCGGTGAAATTTCTTTATTTGATGAATGAGGAACAATTTGAAAATCTAAACAATAATATTTTTATGCATCTTTTTTTTGCAGTGGAATGTAAGATAAATAAGTGATCTTTCAGTGAAGCAGGAAACAGGAAGTAAAACGTTGTAATTAAGCTCAAAAGCATTATTATTTATTAGCTGGACTAAAAAAGATTACGAATATGCTACATTAAAAATCAAAATAAGAAGTGCTGGTCTGAAATAGTAAAACTTTTTAAGTACTTCAAGTAGTCAGGTATTTTTTATGTCCTTTTTTACTGAAGAAAAGAAGGAGAATAAGTAAGTAGGCAAAAGGAAGAAGGAAGACGGAAGAAGAAGAAGGATTACTCTGAAGTCCATTTTCATGTATATAAAAGGTCATTTTTCATTTCCATTCCGGATCCTTTCTTTCTTCCTTCTTCGTAACCGATAGTAGTCTAATTATCTTGTTTCATCAGTACTACAAGAAATTAAGCTACAAATCTTTTCCATTTCATTCGTGAAAGATATTGGTAAAATTATTTGTTAGTGCAAGATGAAGGAATTTTTTTTAATTATCGAAATTGATATTAAGCATAAGATAAATAGCTTGTAATTAATTTCAAGCCTAAGATAACATAACGATATCAATCATAAGATCAAGCATAATAATAATTATACACACAAATGAAATTGTATCATTTAAAAATTAATGAACGAACTTCTTCATTAATTTATAATAATTGAATTAGTTTCACCATAACACTTCAAAGATTGATAAAAAATTCATTCATTCATTTTTGAATAACACAATTTCATTTGCATTAATTAAACATTAGTAATAAGAATATAGATATGTTCATTAGAAATAAAGTATTGAAGCATACATAAATGATATGTTATGATTGAAAAAGGAATATTTAGAAGGCTGCTTTCATTTTTATAATTTCAATATTGAAAATGAAATTTTCGGTTATGTGTTATTATTCTTAAGGATCTGTTAAGAAGAGCTAAAGAATAGCCACTCATATAATTTTATAATTTCT